ATACAGTATTTGGAATAGTTTCGGCACTGTACATGGACCTCAAGCTAATAAGAATGTGATAGAAAATGAATAGTTGTTTCTATAGTTTGTATGTATATGTATGTACGTGTGTGTGTGTGTGTGTGTGTATATGTATATATATGTATATACAGTGGGGATCGAAAGTTTGGGCACCCCAGCTAAAAATTTGTATTAATGTGCATAAAGAAGCCAAGGAAAGATGGAAAAATCTCCAAAAGGCATCAAATTACAGATTAGACATTCTTATAATATGTCAACAAAAGTTAGATTTTATTTCCATCATTTACACTTTCAAAATAACAGAAAACAAAAAAATGGCGTCTGCAAAAGTTTGGGCACCCTGCAGAATTTATTGCATGCACTGCCCCCTTTGCCAAGCTGAGACCTGCCAGTGTCATGGATTGTTCTCAATCATCATCTGGGAAGACCAGATGATGTCAATCTCAAAGGTTTTAAATGCCCAGACTCATCTGACCTTGCCCCAACAATCAGCACCATGGGTTCTTCTAAGCAGTTGTCTAGAAAACTGAAACTGAAAATAGTTGACGCTCACAAAGCTGGAGAAGGCTATAAGAAGATAGCAAAGTGTTTTCAGATGTCAATATCCTTGTTCGGAATGTAATTAAGAAATGGCAGTCATCAGGAACAGTGGAAGTTAAAGCAAGATCTGGAAGACCAAGAAAAATATCAGACAGAACAGCTCGCAGGATTGTGAGAAAAACAATTCAAAACCCACGTTTGACTGCACGATCCCTCCAGAAAGATCTGGCAGACACTGGAGTTGTGGTACACTATTCCACTATAAAGAGATACTTGTACAAATATGGTCTTCATGGAAGAGTCATCAGAAGAAAACCTCTTCTACGCCCTCACCACAAAAATCATCGTTTGAACTTTGCAAATGAACATATAGACAAGCCTGATGCATTTTGGAAACAAGTTCTGTGGACCGATGAGGTTAAAATTTAACTTTTTGGCCGGAATGAGCAAAGGTACGTTTGGAGAAGAAGGGATACAGAATTTAATGAAAAGAACCTCTGTCCAACTGTTAAGTATGGGGTTGGATCAATCATGCTTTGGGGTTGTGTTGCAGCCAGTGGCACAGGGAACATCTCACGAGTAGAAGGAAAAATGGATTCAATAAAATTTCAGCAAATTTTGGATGGTAACTTGATGCCATCTGTGAAAAAGCTGAAGTTAAAGAGAGGATGGCTTCTACAAATGGATAATGATCCTAAACACACCTCGAAATCCACGGGGGATTACATCAAGAGGCGTAAACTGAAGGTTTTGCCATGGCCTTCACAATCTCCTGACCTCAACATAATTGAAAATCTATGGATAGACTTTAAAAGAGCAGTGCATGACAGACAGCCCAGAAATCTCAAAGAACTGGAAGACTTTTGTAAGGAAGAATGGGCAAAGATACCTCAAAGAAGAACTGAAAGACTCTTGGCTGGCTACAAAAAGCGTTTACAAGCTGTGATACTTGCCAAAGGGGGCAGTACAAAATATTAACTCTGCAGGGTGCCCAAACTTTTGCAGACGCCATTTTTTTGTTTTCTGTTATTTTGAAAGTGTAAATGATGGAAATAAAATCTAACTTTTGTTGACATATTATAAGAATGTCTAATCTGTAATTTGATGCCTTTTGGAGATTTTTCCATCTTTGCTTGGCTTCTTTATGCACATTAATACAAAATTTTAGCTGGGGTGCCCAAACTTTCGATCCCCACTGTATATATATATATATATATATATATATATATATATATATATATATGTGTGTGTGTTTGAAAAGTAAAATTTTAATTAATATCTCAATGAACACAAGAACAATTTCCAAAATATTGCCAAAACTGAGTTTTATAGAACATTTGTATAGCTCATTACAGGAAAGTAAGGTTAATAATATAACTTAGATGACAAAATCTTAAGTTTTACTCAAATTAGTGGATGCAAAAATGAATACGCCCCACAACAAAAACTACTCCATCTAGTATTTTGTATGACCTCCATGATTTGTAAGGACGGCACCAAGTCTTCTAGGCATGCAATGAAAACATTGCAAAATCGACCTTTTTCCATTGTTCAAAAATTACCTCTTTTAGAGTCTGGATGCTGGATGGAGAGCAATGCTCAACTTGTCTCTTCAGAATTCCCCATAGGTGTTTGATTGGGTTCAGATCAGGAGACATACTTGGCCACTGAATCACTTTCACCCTGTTCTTCAAGAATGCAACAGTAGCCTTAGGCTACTTTCTCACTGATCCGCCGCAAAAAATGCATGTGTTTTTACTGTGCTTTTGCCAAGCGGTTTTTAAAGGACACGTGACTTAAAAACTGCTCCAAAAACTCTTCCCAGAGCAGTTTTTGAGGCACTTTTCAGATGCATTTCAGGAGTTCTTCAGGTATTTTCACTTTATTTCAATGGGAAGAGGTGTTTTTGGAGCTTTTAACTCACCAAACATGCCCCAAAGATGCTGCAATCCGGAGTTTTTACACTGCACCGCAAGCACAACTCCTCAGTGTAAAAACATACATAGATATACATTCACATAGACAGGGAAGCATTTTCCTTAAGCTTTTCAGGTGCTTTTTTTTAATGCAAAAACGCTTCAAAAACTCCTCAATGTGAAAGTAGCCTTAGATGTGTGTTTTGGATCATTGTCATGCTGGAAAAGTGCACAACGACCAAGGGCACGGAGTGATGGTAGCATCTTCTCTTTCAAAATAGCGCAGTACATCTGTGAATTCATGATGCCATCAATGAAATGCACCTCCCCGACACCAGCAGCACTCATGCAGCCCCACAGAAGGACAATGCTACCACCATGTTTCACTGTAGGCACCATGCATTTTTCTTTGTACCTCTCACCTTTGCGACGCCATACAGTTTTGAAGCCATCATTTCTAAAAACATTTATCTTAGTCTCATTACTCCAGAGTACAGAGTCCCAGTAGTCTTCTTTTTCATCATGTGCCCTGGCAAATTCTAGGTGTGCTTTTTTGTGCATGGGCTTTAGGAGAGGTTTCCTTCATGGACTGCTAGTTCCTTGCCCGTAAAGGGCTTTTGCTACTGACCTGCAATGACTGACGGCTTTCAGGAAAAGAACAGTCCTGTATCTGCCTTTGTATATAAGAAGGAAGTGTCCCTCTTCCATTGATTCAAGCCAAAGTGGGCATCCCATAATCCCTATTTCCCTATCCAAATTAATTTCCCCTAATAAAACAACAAAACCAAGCCCATGGACTGGTCATTGTCTTTGGATGCAAATCGGTGTGAGAAATACCTGTTGCCTGGCTGTGCAGAAAGAAGTTTAGGGGTACCCACTACACAGCGGCCCTCACAAGAGTAGTGCTACATGTGATATATATAATGTATCATGAGTTGTCAATGTAGTAAATATTAGTAGGGGTTCCTTGAGACTGGAAAGTTATTTCAAGGGTTGCTCAGAGTTGAAAAGGTTGAGAAAGGCTGACCTAGGCAATCCAAGCAGAAGTTCAGCCCCATTTGTTTGCCTGCAGCCTTCTGAGACACATCACCAGGTCCCAGAAGGATGCAGGTGAAAAAACAGCAATGCTGATCTGAGTGTAGTATTTAAAAAGATTGGTTTAATCAATATAGTAAAAAACTCATAAGTAATGAAATATGGCTCGCAATAAACATAATTAGCTCCTCCAGACTGATTTCGCCTCGGGAACTGTAGGCATTTGGATCCACGGACCACTTGGCCGCATTGGTGGTGTCCAGGACTCCAAGTGATCCGAAGCCGACAGCCGTGACATCACCGGAAGCAGGGAGGCGGGAGCAAGCTCACTGATTCGCGCTCGTTTTTCAGCATGCGTGTTCCTTCCTCAGGCCATATTTTCTCACTTGTATCCCTTTCTACAGAGAAGCTTCAGCTCTTACAGCTGGCACCTATCTGCTTCAAAGCCCCCATGGACTTGTATACAGACTTTTATTCATGAACTATGGACTACATTTTCTTGCTGGAATATTAATTGACCAGTGTCCCCCTTGGAATTCTTATACTACTACCTGAACCATTTGCCACATTTGTACTTTTTCATCTGGTCTTATACATTTTACAATGATATTGTATACATTTACCTGGGACTGTATTCTAGTGCTCTCCATTTTCCTCCTATCTGCCCAGAAGGATGCAGGACCATTCACAAATCGTAGAGTGGCTCACGCATGTGCAATGGGAGGCCGGCTAAGAAGCCACAAGGAGTCACAGCTGCCTGCGCACAGTTAATATGCCGGCACCGAGGACCGAAAGACTGGCCTGCGTGAACACAGTGCAGGATCCCTGGACAGGTAAGTGTGTGTTTTTCAAAAGTCAGCAGCTACAGTGTTTGTATCTGCTGACTTTGACATTTTTGTTTCCAGGATAAAGATCCTCTTTAAATGATGCCTGATCAAAATAAAATAGAATAAAAAATCTAAGCAGCACAGTGGCTCCTCAACCAGGAAACTACCTTCATGGAGTCCTCTTTGCTTGCATGGGTTTCCTTCTGTTCTCCAGAGACATGGTCCTTGTAATTATGCATGTGAAAAAAAACCCAACAAAAAATATGTTGCCTGCACACTGAGGATCTTCAGAACAGGTCCAAAGCTTTATTCAGCGATCACATCATGATTCCAAAAGTGACATTTCAAAGCCTCGCAGGACCTCTTCATCGGGCATGTAGTCACATTCCTGATGAAGGGGTCCTACGAGCCTCCAAAATGTCACTTTTGTAACTATGATGTGATTGCTGAATAAAACTTTGGACCTGTTCTGAAGATCCTCTGTGTGCTAGTGACATACTGTTTTGCTTTTAATGTCTTCAGTTTCCAGCATATGGTCGCTGCAGCACCCACTTACGTCTACAGCAGGGGCGGACTGACCATTTGTAAACTCGGGCACTGCCCGAGGGCCCAGGGTCAATAGGGGGCCCCATGAGATGCCCCCTGGTACCTTTTTTTATAGGCTTTTTTGAGTTTGGGCAAGGACACAGGGGCCCCATGATCCCCTATTGCCTGGGGGCCCCATGAGTTGTCAGTCCGCCCCTGGTCTACAGCCACTTTCAGGAATGTGTGTGTTGGGGATATTGTGCTTGGATTTCAGCAGAGGGGTTCTGCTCTATGTGCCAAATGTTTTTGTGCCTGCATACTGCAGTAATGGCAAACCAGTCCTGCTCCTATGAATAGTTCAACAGAATGAGGTGCTCAAGACAGATAAAATGTGTGCCTAAATTGCAGTTACTATGTTTTATTGGGCTGATAAATAACACTAGAACTTTTTAGCTTCTTAAAGCTAATCAGCAGAATAACATGCCCACAATCACCAATAGATACATCAACTTGAGAAAGTATCTGACAAGATGCTAAATAGAGAAATCGTGGGCAATAGAGTGTCAGCACTGAGCAAACGCAACCTTCAACAACCATAATGGTGGTGGTGGAGATACTGGACACCAGCTCTCAGTAGGGCACATTAAACATGTCAAAGAAAGTGGATATGTCAACAATATATTTATTGTATCCAGACAATTTTTGAAATAATTACAAAGCTCTAGTGCAGCAAACATCCATCCAGAAATGTATGTTTTCAGATGAGGATGCCATCACCACTTGAGAATCAAGTGGAAGCTGTGAAAGTTCTGTCAGATTTTTCTTCAAGTTATCGTAGCTGTCATCAATGACAATGAGTACACAGATAACATGAAAAATCACAACTTATATAACTCAATGCACCTGAACAGATCTATAAGCAGCCAAAAACACCTAGCAAGCAGATCTAAGCTCAGTCATTCCTACATCTACATCCATCAGGGATCAGGGTGGGTATGCAAGTAGACCCAAGCCAAATACCAAGACGGCTTTGGCTATGAACCATCAACAGACTAACCAGTGATTAGTAGTGCTGAACTCTCTAGGTAGGTAAAAGAGTTGCCCAATAGCCCATAGAATAGGAGGTGGTGCAACCATTTTACACTATTCTCTAACACAGTGAATGAAGTAGTCTTGGTAAACATATGTATAGTGAAGCATATTCATGTAACAGCTCTTCTTCACTAATGTTACTGCTTGGTAGCTACGTAGGCTATCTCTTTGTAGAACCAGCAAAATTGTAGACTAAAGGGAAAGCACTATATACAATGTTATCATTAGGTCTAAAGAAGTTTACATATTTTTTATATTTGCCAGTTTTATCAGAAATATAGTGCATTATCTGTTGCATTTTCTCTTGAGCTTGCAGGTAGTGATTAGAACACTTTTTTCATGTTTTCTAGACTCTCCATTTGCTTCTTTGATGTATCTGTTGTTTACAGATCTGAAAAACATAAGCTTAAACTGACACATATAAGTGAATTTTTCAGAGAAATGTCCCATAGTTAACCAGACCCTGTCTAAAGCAGACAGGGTCTCATTAGCTATGTTAGGTGTTAAATATTTATTTACAAAACAATTGTGCTGCTACCCTAGAGGACCACTGTATTTGTTTTGCTCTACACAGTCAGGCAACATGCATCTTCCACACTTATTCATTCAGAGTCTGTAAACAGTCCTTGATATTTTTAGTTGTTTTTATTAGGGGTTAACAACTAGGATGGGATCTAGGGGTATATGGGATACCAAAGTAACTGTAAAGTTGAGGCCAAACGTCTTAGCAACAAAACTGTACAAAAATGTGGATCCAAGAACAATAACACTGTCTCTTTCAGAGAGCTTTAAGCCCCTCTGGTGTACCTCCTTAGACCCCAGATGAATCCATCTCTTCACCCAACTGCATTGAGGATATCCCTGGGCAAGGGATTCCAAAATATAACAATGAAGTAGTCCCAGCTGAGAATTAGTTGGGTCTTGCATCTGACCTCCCTCTCCCTTTATCTGGCCCAGAGGGTGTAGGAGTACTCACACTGTCCTGTTCTGTCAGCATGGTGGGTTGGTAGCCGCTTTCAGGTCTTTCGCTGGGCTGGCTCCTTCCCTGCTGCATAGGATGTCCTCCCTAATAGATGGTGGAACAGTGAAGATCTCCTGTCCAGCAACCAGCCTCCTCCCAGGCTCCACACTTCAGCAACCAGCCCTCCTCCCAGGCTCCACGCTCCAGCAACCTTCCATCAGTCCATCTTCCACTCGACTCCCCTGCTGGACAGGCTGTTCTACATTGGGACTGAGGTTTCTCTGAATCTTTGTGTACTTGAGTGCAAACACTTCTGTCTTCTCCTTGTTCCTTTGCTCTTCCATCATAAATTCCTTGTATTTGTCCTTCTGGACAAGCAGTGAGAGGGTTACACTGTTCAACAAATTTTTTTTTTTTGCCAGTTTTGGAAACAAAAGGATCCATTTCTTAATGAATTTCACATTCTGAGTTCAAATATAACAATGAAATTTGTCAATTGGCTCTAGTTTTTCTGTAAACGGAAAGTTTTCTACTATAGGCGTAATGACTACATAATGCACAATAATTATATAGATAGATGTCTTTCCACAAATATAAAGCAAGTGATATTGACTACATAACAAAGCCTAAATGGCATAATATATTGCATAGGATTACCAAGAAAAATTATAGCCATAAGCTAAGTTGAATCATTTTAATACTTAGGATTCTCACTAGTTTTGTCTTCAGTTTGTGTCAGTTTTGCTTCTCTTGGCTTTTCTCTTGTATTCGAGGAAAGGGCTATCTCTTACAACTGCACATGACTACACGCTTCAGGTTCTTCCTCACTTGACTCAACCACGAAGGATTCTGGTGCTTTAGGAATTGGTAGCCCCTCTCCATGAGGAACTGGACGTATTGCCGATGGAATATTTGGATAGTGCACAGATAACTTTTTCTTCTTATTTAGCCCTTTTACAATTGGAGGCACCATACAAAAGTAACAATTACTAACATGATCTGTTGGCTCTCTCCAAATCATTGGCACAGCGAAAGACATAGATGCCTTTTTTCCATTCAACCATTGCTCCAGTGCCGTCCCACAAGAATTGCAGCATATATGTGGTGCCCAGCTCTTGTCCTGGTCTCCTATCTTGCAGCCAAAATACAAGTTGTAGGCTTTCTTAATCATTCCTGTTATCCTCCTTTTTTGTGAGATAAAAGTTATTTCACCGCAGATATAGCAGAAATTATCTGCTTTATTCACACAAGTTCGAGGCATTACTGAGTAGCCTATATAAGCATAAAACGAAATGTAAAGACGCTGTCGAACTACAATCAGCTACAGATACTGCAGCTTTTATGCAGTGAAGTGATGCAATTAAAGGCTAATATTGCATCATCTCAGTATACATGCAATTTTCTATTGGTCACCAGTATCAATTGCGCAATATGCAGCTGAAGTTGCATCATAATTTTGAATGGCTTACGTCATTAGATGGGTGAATATATCATGGAAACTAGAGCCAATCAACATTTTTTAGGGTCATTTTCGTATTCAGCACCCCAAAATTATGTAAGATTAGCTAATTTTATGCCCAAAACTTTTTACCTGTTGAACAGTGTTATCATTATACAAGTGGAGGAAAAAGCACAAGGTGGGAGCAATGTAATGGCACTTTAAGTTACAATGTAGTCTATATTCACATGTTTACTTTGGCCAGCGTATCTTGGCTGCATTTCCTTTGCGTTCTAACATACATTATCCTTGTGTAGTGATGTGATCATTTCTTTGCCCATTTTCCAGTGTATACTTCTATTATGCAGTGTTTGTTTTGCCCTTTTCCAATATGGCTGCTATGCTCTCTGGGCACTGAGGATGAGGTCATTAGGGAGAGACTTGTGAAAAAGAGGGAAGGTGGTTTCTCCTGAGAGAGAGAGAGAGAGAGAGAGAGAGAGAGAGAAAGAGAGAACTCGGACTGTAAGTGTCGCAGCCTCCCCTCACTGAGACATGCACAAAAGACTGGTAATGCTTTAACCACTAGCCTACAGGGCACTTATACCCCCTTCCTGCCCAGGCCAATTTCCAGCTTTCAGCGCTGTCAACACTTTGAATGACAATTGCACGGTCATGCAACATTGTACCCATATGAAATTTTTATCGTTTTTTTGAGACAGCTAGAGCTTTCTTTTGGTGGTATTTAATCACATCTGGGATTTTTTTTTTTTCTTAAACCAAAAACCACTGAACATTTTGAAAAAAAAATTTTTTTCTTAGTTTTTGTTATACAATTTTGTAAATAAATGATTTTTCTCCTTCACTGATGTGCGCTAATGAGGCTGCAGTGATGGGCACTGATAGGTGGCACTGATGAGGAGGCACTGGTAGGTTGCACTGATGGGCATTGACAGGCATCACTGATGGGCACTGAAAGGCAGCACTGATACATGACACTGATATATGGTACTGTTAGGCGGCACTGACTGGCGCTGTTAGGCAGCACTGACTGGCACTGATAGGTGGCACTGACCGGCACTGATAGGTGACATTGACTGGCACTGATAGGCAACACTGGCAGCACTGATAGGTAGCACTGATTGGCATTGATAGGTGGCACTGACTGACACTGATGGGTGACATTGAAAGGCAGCTCAGATGGGCACTGATATGTGGCATTGATGTGCACTGGTATGCACTGATGTGTGGCATTGATGGGCACTGGCACGTGGCACTGATGGGCACTGGCACTGAAACACTGACAGTTGGCACTTCTGGGGCCACACTGATCATCAGGGCACACTGATCATCAGTGCCCTGATGATCAGTGTACATGTCCCCTCCGCGGAAAGCCGATTACCAGCTCTCCTCTCCTCTTGAGCTCTCAGCGTGACAGCTCGAGAGGAGAGAAATGCCGATAACCGGCATTTCCGTGTTTACATGTGATCAGCTGTGATTGGACTTTGCTGATCACATGACCGAGCCGACATCTTCGGCTCTTTCCGTGATCCGCTGTGTCCGAGGGACACAGCGGACCAGCGATCGCCGCGCATGCGCAGTGAGAATGGTAGGACGTCATATGACGTCCTATCAGAACGAGAGAACCAACTTGCGCCTGTACTATAGGGCGGGCGGAAGGTGGTTAATGTTCCTATTTTGAAGTTACTTTATGTTTGATGGTTCACTGAATGTTATTTCTTCAATACATGGACTTTCATATACAATGCTGTGTGGATTACTGTCTGTGGATGATACATTTCTCAGTTGGGATTTCACTTGTTATCCACAAGCCCCAATTGAGTGGAGGCACTAGCGCTTGTTAGAGATCTTGTCCTGATCACACAGATTATAAGGATTCTGCTCTTAAATACTATACAGGTGGCGCCCCAGTACCCCAGTAGCCGCAAAGAGTGTACAGGTAGCGCTACATTTGGAGGCACTGCTGAGAGGAAAAGAGAAAACAGCGCATCATGGAAAGCTTAAGACCACCAGCATCCATTATTGTTAGAGCTTACAAGGACACATATGTGAGTATCAGTGCTGAAGAATAGATTGATATTTTGACAGATGCTTATGGACTGCACCGTGACCCGGATCAGATGCTTGCTGATTTTAAACAAAGCATAAAGAGGGAGAGGATGTTTCTGTGTTTGTGAGGAGGCTAGAAGTGCTTCTAGGAACATTGCTCACTGAAAAGCTCATCTCTTCTACAGATGTTGATAAATTAAGAACTGCTCAAATCATAAAGGGGTTACTGCCGCATCACCCAATGTCACTGTTCCTAAGAGTTGTTTTGAGAGAGAGAAACTTTACTTTTACTGAGAATATGACTGAAGTAAAGAAACAGGCTGATATCCTTTTTAGTACCCCTTCTAAAAGCAAAGTTGATCAGAGTTCTTTGGGTGAGCACAAAAATGAGACTGTTGCTAAAAAACCTCCAGTGATAAGCCTCTTTTCCACATTAAATGTTTCTGCTGTGGACAAGCAGGCCACACAGTTCATCAGTGTCCACAGCTTGCTGATAGTTCTGAAATTCATAGTAAAGCTGGACAAATGTATAAAAAAAAACAGGGAAAATCAAGAAAACAAATGTTCACTAAATTGCTTGGAGTGGGCCGCAGATGTACTTTCAATTTGTTTGTTAATGATATACCCACTAATGCTCTGTTTGACACTGGCTCTCAGCTGACTATTATCTACAGACCCTTCTATCAGCAACACTTAAGCCACCTCCCTTTGAAACCTATGGACACTATGTCTGTTTATGGTGTGGGAGAAAATACTGTTTTTATGGATGGTTGTCTGGAAGTTGAGCTTCGCATTCCTAGTGTGACAGCTGATGAGGATCCCCCACTTAAAGTCATTGCCTATGTGAGCCCTCCACCCGGGGGTAGTGAGTATGCTCCTATGATTGTGGGTTCCAATGTTGAAGCCATTGAGGCTGCTTTCATAAGGTTTCTTCAGCCACAACAGGGTACTCCTCTACCTTCACTGCCTGTTGCTCCAGAACTTCAAAATATCTGCCAAACGTTTGCTCCTGATCTTGCTGGAGGATGTGTGGGGAATCCATGGCATCCCTTAGAGCTTCCAGCCAAGGGAGTGAGAGTGTTGCGGGTTTATGTGGAAATTTCACCGGGTGCAAACGGTAGCTTTTTCCTGCTAGAGACTGATCCGAAAGAGGCTGCAAAGAATGGCTGGGAGATAGTACCAGAAAGCAAAGACTATCGTTTAAAATGTCCAAGAGTGGATGTTGTTACTGTTTGGAATGTTACCACATACCCAGTTATAATACCAGCCTGGCAGGAGGTAGCCTATTATTACCCAGTGGAAACCATTAGCTCTTACCCTGTCAAGCTCGAGGAGAAAGAAACCGAATTAGACTTTCACCTTAATGATGCTGATAGTCCTGCAGAGCACAAACAAGTACTAGAAGAGCAGCTAATGGAATACAATGATGTTTTCTCTACTGATGACATGGATGTTGGGTGTGCTAAAAGTATTCAACACAGTATTCGCCTAATAGATAGCACCCCCTTTAGGGAAAGATCCAGGCGCATACCTCCAAAAGATCTGGATGATGTTCAAGAGTGCTTGCACAAAATGAAAGATCAAAACATCATTGTTGAGTCTAAAAGCCTGTATTCATCCCCAATAGTGGTGGTCAGAAAGAAAAATGGTGAAGTGCGAATATGTGTTGATTACAGGACTCTAAATCGGCGAACGGTCCCAGATCAATACACGCTATCTTGCATTGAGGAAGCTCTTGATGTCCTGCAAGGCAGCAAATGGTTCACAGTAATGGACTTAAGATCCGGGTATTACCAAGTATCAATGAGTGAGGAAGATCAAGAAAAGACAGCTTTTATTTGCCCCCTGGGGTTTTTCCAGTTTGCTAGAATGCGTCAGGGAATTAGTGGTGCACCTGCAACTTTCCAGCGTCTAATGGATCGGACACTGGGAGACCTTTGTCCCACTCACTGTATTGTCTACCTAGATGACATAATTGTTTTTGGCTCCACTCTGGAGGAGCATGATCAGAGACTGTTTAAAGTGCTTGATCGTTTGAGGAGAGAAGGTCTGAAACGCTCCCTGGACAAATGTAAGTTTGCCTGTTCTTCAGTAAACTTTGTGGGCCACATCATATCTGCAGAAGGGGTAGCAACTGATCCTGCTAAAGTGGAGGCTGTGGTAACCTGGCCCCGTCCCACAAATCTGACAGAACTGCGGTCCTTCTTGGGGTTTTGTGGCTATTATCGCCGCTTCATTAGAGACTATTCCAAGACTGCTCGGCCTCTTAATGACTTGCTTAAAGAAACGCCTGGCATTGACACAACCAGCAAAACTCCTTTCAGTGAGAGGTGGACTTCTGCTTGTGAGGAAGCTTTTCTACAGCTTAAGAAAATCCTTACAGAAGCACCAGTGTTGGCTTATGTAGGCCCACAAAAGCCATATGTTCTGCATGTAGATGCCAGCTACGATGGGCTAGGAGGAGTCCTCCATCAGGAGGAGTACCCAGGAGGACTAAGGCTTGTTGCTTATATCAGTCGCAGTCTAAGCCCAGCAGAAAAGAATTATCCCGTTCACAAACTGGAATTTCTTGCCCTGAAGTGGGCTATTGTTGAAAAGCTGCATGATTACTTGTATGGGGCTCAGTTTGAGGTGAGAACTGACAATAACCCCCTCACTTATGTTTTGACTACAGCCAAGCTGGATGCCACTGGTCATAGGTGGCTTGCTGCCTTGTCTAATTACCAATTCACTCTCAAGTACAAGCCAGGACCCAAAAACATTGGGGCTGATGCTCTCTCCAGGCGTCCTGGATTGCCAATGAACTTAGAAGAAAGTGAATGGGAGGAAGTACCTGGGCCTGCTGTGGATGCCTACTGTGCTACAGCTGCTGTACAAGGAGACAATATTGTTTTCTCTGACTTACAAGTTATTGACTCATTGGGAGCTAGTGAAGAGTGTATCCCGGACATGTATTGCTGCCCCACTGCTCTAGGGGTACCAGAAAACATTCCAGCTGCAAAAGAAAGATATGATTCTTCTACAAATGAGGGATCCAGTAATCAGACATGTTAGAGAGTCGGTTTTCTGCAAAGATCCTAATTACATGAGAAAAACCCTACCTGAGCAGAGTACCTACTATATTAAGGAATGGGATGAACTCAAAATAATCGATGGACTTTTGTATAGGGTACATTTGTTCCATGATCATCCTGGAAGGAGACAGCTAGTGCTCCTCAAGTCTACAGAAAATCTGTTTTGAGAAGTTTGCATGACCGACATGGGCATCTAGGAGTTGAAAAAACATATGGATTAATCCGAGACCGTTTTTTTTGGCCACGAATGAGGGAAGCTGTTGTGGGCTATTGCCACCGTTGTGTGAGATGTCTGCAATGGAAAACTCTGCCTACTCGAGCTGCTCCTATGGAACACTTGAAAAGTTCTGGTCCAATGGATTTAGTGTGCATGGACTTTTTGTGTATTGATGACAGCAGTGGTGTGGGAAATGTTTTGATTGTGACTGATCACTACACTTGCTTCTCCTCCAATTTGGAGTGAACACTCCAGTGTCTGTCAGAGGTCAAAAAGCGATAAGTCTACACCAGCACTAAGGTCATAGGTTCAAATCTCAACCTCAACACTACCTACACAGAGTTTGCATGTTCTTCTTGTGCCTGTGTGGGTTTCCCTTGGGTACTCCGGTATCCTCCCAAACACCAAAGACATGTCAGTAGGTTGACTCCTGTCCATATTGGCTCTAGAATGTGTGTATGAATATGAGTTAGGGAACTTAGATTGTGAAGTGCTGCGTAAATTGACGGCACCATATAATTCACAAATGACTAGTGCAGCGCAACTCTCTAAATTAATAAATATTAATAAACATTCATACGCCTGTGAAAAAATATATATATAAATGACTCCCAAAATTAAAGTCCATAAATCATCCCATCGGTGAAGTACATCGCTTCTGTGAATATCTTCTTTGATTATGTTCAGTGCTCTTCCACCACACCAGGTGAAAAACCTGCTCACTTCAAAAAAAGATAATATGCGCTCATCTGGTGTTTTCAAACTCCTCAGTCACAATTGCGTATCTTCCTCTTATATCCTCTCGATATCCACATACTCTGACATCAGGCCAAAATTGATCTCATGTAACAGAAAGACCAATACATAGTGGTCTCTGTATAACACTTTATTGAATTCCCCACTAAAATTGCACTTACAGGTATAAAATGTGTCCACATCCAGCTCACCACTCCGCTAGCAAGATAGTGGTGGAGTGGTAACTCAGTTCCGGCTCCTCCTTCCTAGATGCGTTGCTCCCCCTCTCAGGGCTTCCTCAGTAGGTGGGGAGCCATTCTTTCTAAACTTTTTATAGCCACACACATACCCACAACTCGTGTCTAATTGTCACTGGAGACACCAGAAGTACATCATCCTCTTTGGCGGAAGGGCTAAGACTGGCCTGTTCTCCGCCCGAGGACTGCGCACGTACCATTGGAAGTCTACCGGCGGCCGTCTTAAGTGAGGGTGATAGAAG